GTTTTTGGCATATTACGCATTGTTTAGGCGTCTTATGTATTAATAATAAGTACTAATCGGTGTTAAGAAAACTTAATAACTACTTATTACGGCCTACTTACTATTAAGTAAAACTCGAAGGTAGGGTATTTTGTTCGTTATTGGTAATTATGCTGAAAAATGTGCGAAAGCAGATTCTTTATGGATTACACAATTACGTAATCTGACGATATTTCAGCTCCTCTCTCAGTTTTGTGGCCCTATTCAAGGTTGTGATGCTAATTTTCGATTCAGATCAAATTAGCTGTTGCGGAGGACTTCATAAATATCCAATAATTACCGCCGCTTTTACCTTGAATGCCGTGAGATATGTCGTGGGGTATAGATTGAGACATGGATACTGATGTCACAAGTATAGTTATTGCATTAATGAACTATTTTTGATTATGATTAAGTGTTGTACACTATTAATTGCGGTAGACATTATACTTAAAATAGTAATTATTACTAAGGAATTACTATTACTAATATTGCGTAATATGCATTTAGCTAAATCTGTTTAATGGTAAATAGTATTTACTGCTCAATACTACTTCTTCTACACAGAGCGCTATGTACCATGAAGTAGCAGTGAGTTGTATTTGATACTATCTCATAGTAAATATTGTATCCTGCTGGTCATTATACTACTTAATTTGTGAATTTAGATGGCCTGTAAATCCGAAAGGCTGCACAGAGCGTATGATATTGCTCAACTTGTTCCTTCGGCTGAAATGTTGCAGCCTTTCATTAAGTAAGGCATTTTTTGGTCATAACGTTTACGTCTTTTAAAATGCTTTTATATTGTATATTTATTTTGTTATTAGTTTATGCAAATGCGTATCACAGCAGCAACTGAGAAACAAAAATATATTTACGGCTATTGGTTTAACAAATTTGAACATTTATTGCTTATTCGTCGTTATAGACATGCTTTTCACTCTCATATACTCGCGTAATTTCTTATATGCATGTTTGTCTACCTACTTACCTGACTGCTTGTTTAGTTATTTTGTATCTTTTAGCTCCGCACTTGCTGACTTCAATAGGTTTTTCTTTAAAGTTGCAGTGGTTTCAGAAATATATGCATTGAATAAGCTGATCGTTGGTTTATTTGTTTTCTTACCTATTTTTGTCTTCCATGCAAAATTACGCTATATAACCCCAAGCTTGCTTTCCCACATGAAGAATGAACAGACTCAAAATCA